CTGGCCACTCAAACTGCGACTAACTTCCCTGGGCGCTCATTGTTGCTGAGAAGGTGCCTTTGTATTAAGGTGATGTCGACCCCAAAGTGGCATCACAGGTTAATGAACAGACCCACGATCGACTGGTGAGATAAGGATAGAGCTTCTCTGAAGAATGTAATTCTCTCACGGAGGAGAGTTACTGAAGAAGGAGATTGCAGGGAGGCTTTTTGCCCATCTGGAAGGTCTGGAGAAACCAGAAACTATTAATATCAACTTCATTAACAGAGAAACTGAGTACAAAGTTATCTATAATTGATTGTACTCTGTTATATACCAACATTGGCATAATTTGCTGCACATATAGCCAAGTTTGTTACAGGAGGGACTTTATAGATTGTTTCTCTAAGAGATTACGAAGCTGGGTTTAAGTATCTCTATGGAGGGGGGAGTTGAAATACTTTATTTTTTTATTTAATCTTTATTAGAAAATTTTTAATTTAACATTTTGAAAAATATGTCTTTGATTTTACATTATAAAGACATTAACTTATAAACATTGACGACATTAGATAGATGTGTTTTTTTTAATAGTCATTTACTCAGATACCAGGCATTAATACATTCATTCCGAAAACATAGAAAAAAAATATATATATAGTAGGGGGACTATGAATTGCTTATTTCTCAAGTTGCTTCCTTTATATAAACAGAATCAATATTATATATTATATCATGGGAGACTTACTGGCTGTAATGAGGTAAATTAATTCATTCACTTAGAGCCAGCTTCTAAATTTTATTTCTACTATTAGTTATTATTTCTCTGGGTATGTTTCTGTTTATTCCCTTTAAGAAATATTATTACATTTTCCTATATATTCCTATATAATGAGATCCTACCTGAATTTCTATAAAATGCTTCTTCCATCTACTTTTGATAATTAATCTGGTTATTTACTTCTATCCACGATAATGCTGTTGGAACTTTCCAGTTTCTGGCTATTATAAGTTTAGTTGGCATTATAATTATGGATGAGTAATATTTTTCGTTAAAGGTTACAATTTGGAAAGTCTAAGTGGAATAACAAAGTTTGAGGTAATAATGTTGTCTGGTGTACACCAAACTGTTTGAAAATGTTGGAAATCTGCCTTTTTATTTTTGCTAGAGCCTTGCATTTCCACCACTTATGGTAAAGTGTACCTTCTTCCTTGGAACATCTCCAACATTTTAGCGAGTAACTACTTTTGAACTTTCTAGTTCCATGTGAGTGATATACCATCCGTGGGCAATTTAAAAAAAAGTTATCTTGTAAACTAAGACTATGAGTTATTTTGCTGATTCTCACAAATTTGGCTCCTCATTTATCCAATGGAAAAGATTTATTTATGTCTCTTTCTCATTTGACTATAGATTTAGGTTTATCTGTAGCCTATATGTTCTTAATTAAGAACATAGTTTTAGTAATTAGTTTATTTTTATAATGATTATTTAAAAAGTCTTCAAATTCTGGAAGTTCTTTAATATCCTGTTTGCTACTCAGATGATTTATTCTAGCATAATTAAGCCACTCTTGGTTTGGGAGCCCGAATTGTTTTTGGATGTCTTTGAACATTTTTATTTTACCCTGGGGACCAATTTCTATTAATTTTTGAATGTTACATTCTTTCCATTTTGATAAATTAATATTATTAATATAGAGTTGAAGATCTATTGGTGCAAAAGAATTAGTTCATTAGATATACCTAATTTCTTTTTAAATATTTTCAGGGACATGAATGTATCATTTACAACCCTATTTGAGGATATGGACTCTTTGTAGTATTCAGAGCAGATCCAGGCCAGGTTGAATAAAGATGTATTTAAATCTGTTTTTATTTCTATAGATTTCCAACTTGGATCAGAACTGATAAGATTATCCCATTTCATATATTGTGTAAACATAATACAATCATGTAATTCCACAATATCAGGTAAATTTATTCCGCATTTATAAACTCTTTTATTAAGTTTATTATATGAAACTCTGGGTATTTTCCCTGCCCAAATAAATTTCATCAACAATTTTTTAAACTGAATTAATGTTGAAAGAGGTACTCTTATTAGTATTGAATGGAATAAATAAGTTAGTTTTGGCATAACATATGCAATACTGTGTTTATACGGCCAAGCCAAAAGATTCTAGCATCTTCCATTTTAAAAAGTTCTCTTTAAATGATAGTCATATTTTCTTATAATTATCTTCTATTATTTTATCTAGATTTGATCTGATTTTGATACCTAGATAGTCTATCTTCTTATTTTGGAAGTTCCAATTATACCTTTTAAATATTTCAGTTGTTCAGAAGGTATATCAAAAGTTATTATTTGGGTTTTATTCATATTTAATTTGTAACCAAAATATTTACCATACTTTGAAATTAGTTTTAATACATGCGAGATGGATTTTTCTGGATTAGATAAAGTTAAGAGAACATCATCCGCGTATAAAGTGATTTTATAATTTTCAGCGGAAATATGTATGGCATCAATCTTATCATTCTGTCTAATAAGAGCTTCTAGTGGTTCTATGGTTAGGACATGCCAGGGGGCATCCTTGTCTGGTTCTGTTCCGGATGTCAAACCAGTCAGACACCATCCCTGAGCAGATAACTCTAGCTTGAGGATTTGTGTAGAGTGACATTGTACTCTCTTTAAAAAATCCCGTCAGGCCAAAGTTCTCCATCACCAATCGCAGGAATTTCCCTGTTAAAATTTTACGTGTATTATCAGCTATATCTCTCCCTGAGACAAATCCTGTTTGATCTTTAAAAGTATTCTCAGGAATCACTATTTTTAGTCTTTCTGCTAGTATCTTTGAAAATATCTTAATATCTAAGTTAATCAAGGAGATAAGGTGATAATTGGGAATTGGGAGAACATCGGCCTGACGTAGATCCTGTGGAATTTGTTTACAAATAGAAAATTCATTGTAAATTCGCTGTAACAACGGGGAAATTATTTGAATAAATACTTTGTAAAAATCGCAGAGAATCCATCTGGTCCTGGAGCTTTGGCATTTTTCAGCCATTTTATTGTATTTTGAATCTCTAAATTAGAAATGGATTTATTCAGTTGTTCTAAATTCTTTGAATTGATTTTAGGTAAATTGCATTTTTTTTTAAATTCTTTGATTGTATTATCTTGTACATCTTCATTACCATCTTTTTCCAAATTATATATATTATGATAATGTGATATAAATGCCTCTCCAATTTGTTTGGGAGATAGAAGAGTTTTATTCCCTATTCCCTAGCTATTTTATTATTAATTTTGCTTTAAAGTCATTAAATGTCTATCTATTTTTTCGTGAAGTATGATTTTAATTTGATTTTGATCATCTTTATTTAGTTTTAGATTTGGTTTATCTTTATTTAGTTTTTCTTGTTCAATTAGGGATATATATAAGTTTGATAAAGATTCTCCTCTGTTTTTTTTCGCATGAGAACCAAGTTTTATGAATAGACTTCTCATAAAACATTTAAAGGATCCCCATATTCAGAAAATGGAGGTTTCCCCATTATCATTAATTTCAACAAAATCCTCAGCTTGCCATATAAGCTTATCCATATCCAGACCAGGTGTACATAAAAATCCATTTACTCTCCATGTTGTTTGTGGGGTGTATTCTCTTTTATCCTTTATTTTTAAAAATATGGATACATAATCTGACCAAGTTATTGAACCGATCCTTGAGGAAATACATCTGTTTATTGAATGCAATTTAGTAGTAAATAAATCAATCCTTGAATATGAGCAATGAACATTTAAAAAAAAAAGTATAATTCCGATCTTGGGGATGAAGTACTCTCCAGGTGTCGTACATAGAATTTTTTGCAAAACAATCCTGACGTAAATCCACAGTATTTTTTAAATGGGGGTCTATGGTTGCATTAGATTGCAATTTTTTTAATCTAATCTGACATCAGGCACACAATTGAAATCACCTCCTAAAATTAATGTGCCCTATGTTATTTGATCAGATCTATTCATTATTTTATCAAGAAATACAAAAATCGGTGTGGACTAGTAAATCCCTCTTATTTCTTTTAAAGCACATTATTGGTGGTTTCCTAAACTCCACTGGTAAAGTTACAACAGTAGCTAGGACTCTCCAGTTGTTGTTAATTGTCTTAAATTCTGATGATGCTGTTGTATAGCTAGTAGGGAAAACCATTTGTATGGTTTTTAGTGCCTTCTTATCTATCTCAGTGTCATCATGACATCTCTGTAGGGCCTATGACAATGTGGTATCCTTGTACCCCCTTTGTTTGAATTTATCCCACATAATAGCAATTTTGGCTTGCACATTTTCATAGTTGTAATTGTTCCTAAAAACCCATAGGAACTGAGAATATGGTAACTGTGGCAAAACTAACCTCGCTACTGGGTTATGAAGAAGCCTGATTGCCAGCCTCCTGCCTCATGACTATGGCCTCTCTCATCAGCCGATGCTAAACTTAAACCCCACGGCGATTTGACTGTGTTTGTGGGATCTGAGCGCTGTTTGGATATATTGAATGCTCAGATCCAAGCCATCTGGCGATAGGTTGAATGTGGGGGTTCTGTTCAGTATGCTAGGAATTATGTATTTTTGCTGTTGTGAATAGAGATATTTTCTGTACCTGGAGATAGTTGGCTTACCACATCCAATTATGTCCAGGACAGAGGACTCTGTGGAACTGGTTTGGGCTGGAAAAGCCATGCTTCAGTGGTCACAAAGGACTTTCAACCTAACTTTTAAACCACTGGAGGGATTTTTGAGTATGTTTGTATTTGGAGTATGCTGATTCTGAAAATGTAAGTTTTATGTGAATGTGATGTATACTTTTAAAGTTATGAATATTGTGTAAAACTGTGTATTTTCCTGCCTGTGATAATTACGTTAGCCCATTGTGTTCAGTAATTATATCACAGGGGAGGATTTTGCTGGAATGAATGGGAGTGTTCATTGTATATTAAAATGTATATTACGTGTTTGATTGGATGTGCCACAAAACCCTGTGGATGGTACTAATGTGTAAGAATGTATATATAAGAACAATAAAAACACAGCTCTGTCTGTTCCTGCTTGACCCACAAAACGGAGCCTTGTCTCGTTCTTGGGGGGATTTATAGTATGCTGTTCCAGTTCGACTGCTAGGAGTGTAAACCTATTCGTATGGTTTTTCCTATTCGGCTGTTTACGGCATTCATATGGTTTCCTGTTCGGTGGATTGGTGTCTTTGGTAGCTGCCTGTATATCTGGAAGGGGAATATCTACTAAATGGCTTTAACCCCTTTTATGCCCGGGGTGCCGTTACAGTAACAATTTTCTTAAGGCCATGGAATGGAAACTAGTTGCATGGATCACTGTATTGCGATCAGTGGATTTGGAAAATAGGGTATGGGCTAATTTCTGATCCTCACGATAGATATGTACATTCAAAAAGTCGAATTGTTGTAAGCTCATGGTCGTAGTGAGTTCAATATTATCTGTAGCTTTGTTGATCCCTTGGATCATCAGTTCCACATCTACAGTTGTGCCTTTAATCAACATGAAGATGCCATCGATGTAGCGTGTATATGGCAGAATATACTCTTTGTAAGGTCCTAAAATGTAGGTGTTTTTGAATTGATACATGTAGCCATTGGTGTACATTAGTGCCATGGCTGCACCCATGGATGTGCCCAAAATTTGGAAATAAGAACTTGAGGAATCTACTATTCCACACCGATCCAGTCCACTTTTACCAACCTAAGATGACAACGATCAACCCAGGATGCTACCGATGTCTGGGATGTGTGACGTGTGGGCATATGTTGACAGGAAAAGTTTCTTCATATCCCCATTCAGGAAGCCAATACACCATTAAACACTGGTTAACTTGCACTACGGATTTTGTAATCTATAAATTAACATGCCCCTGCAGAATAGCCTATATAGGCAACAGATCTTCCACTCCGAGAGAGAATTAGGAATCATAGATCTTTTGTTCGCACAGTGTACAGGGATATGAAGTCAAAACAACCGGACATTTTCTGGACATTGGCCATACTCTTCCCTCTCTTAAACTAATGGTCATTGATCACATCCCCTCCCCCCCCCATGCCGGGGAGGTGACCGGAGCAAACTTTTGCTCCAATGGATATATTGGATCAGGATTCTAAATACTGTCCAACCACATGGACTGAATGAGAAATAATCATTATCTGTATTCCAATAAAAGTATTTCCTGGGGTTGGAAAAATGTTTTCAATACACTATATGCACAACGTGACAGCCCACCCTGGGGGACAGGCATGTAAGCTTTGCTGGTGTATATCTTTATACCTTTGGGAATATGCGATACTCGTTTGCTTTAGTACTCGTGGCTTGTAAATGTGATGGAGCATGCTGGTTATGTACACAGAATATGTCGTCCAGATGCCACCTAAGTACTCTTCTTTATTATGTATTGGTTTACAGAAATGATAGATTGCTCTTTTCAGAGTATCTGGTCAGCTTAAAATGTCCCACCCTGGGGGATAGTGCCTATAGCTGATCCAGGAAAAAAAAGTATTATGGTTTTTTATTTGGCCTTTTTTGGGGCTGAAAAAAGAAGATTTAGAAGAAAGAAAACATTGAATGGTAAGTTTTTTTTTTTTTTTTTTTTAGTTAGAAGGTCCCCCCTTCATTATTTTTAGGGTGAGGGGGGTAGGTAGGGGGTTAATTTTTTTTTGGGGGGGGCAGGGGGTGACTAGGGGTTTGGGGACCCCTAGTCACCTGGGGGGGACCCCCCTTTTTAGTATTTATGGCCCCCACCCGCTGCTCAGGGGTGGGGGCCAGAGGGGAGGACCTTAGGTCCCCCCCTTTTTAGTATTTAGGGCCCCCACCCGCCGCTCATGGGTGTGGGCCAGGAGGAGGACCTTAGGTCCCCCCCATTGTGATTTATTTGCCCCCACCCACCACTCAGGGGTGGGGGCCGGGGGGGAGGACATTAGGTCCCCCCCCTTTTTAGTATTTAGGGCCCCCACCCGCCACTCAGGGGTGGGGGCCAGGGGGGAGGACCTTAGGTCCCCCCCATTGTGATTTATTTGCCCCCACCCACCGCTCAGGGGTGGGGGCCGGGGGGGAGGACATTAGGTCCCCCCCCCTTTTTAGTATTTAGGGCCCCCACCCGCCGCTCAGGGATGGGGGCCAGGGGGGAGGACCTTAGGTCCCCCCCATTGTGATTTATTTGCCCCCACCCACCGCTCAGGTGTGGGGGCCAGGGGGTGGACATTAGGTTCCCCCCCCTTTTTAGTATTTAGGGCCCGCTCACCCGACCGCTCAGGGGTGGGGGCCAGGGGGGAGGACCTTAGGTCCCCCCATTGTGATTTATTTGCCCCCACCCACCGCTCCGGGGTGGGGGCCAGGGGGGAGGACCTTAGGTCCCCCCCTTTTTAGTATTTATGGCCCCCACCCGCTGCTCAGGGGTGGGGGCCAGAGGGGAGGACCTTAGGTCCCCCCCTTTTTAGTATTTAGGGCCCCCACCCACCGCTCAGGGGTGGGGGCCAGGGGGGAGGACCTTAGGTCCCCCCCTTCTTGGTATTTAGGGCCCCCACCCACCCCAGGGGTGGGGGCCGGGCGGAGGACAGTAGGTCACCCCCCCATATTATTGAGTAAACTTTGACAACCCCCACCCCCGAGCGGCGGGTGGGGGGTTGTCAAAGTTTACTCGATGATATGGAATAGGGGGCGGACCGAACATTGCATATGTTCGCCCGCCGTGGCGAACGCGAACAAGCGATGTTCACCAGGAACTATTCGCCAGCGAACTGTTCGGGACATCTCTATATATAAGATAATATTTTTATAGTACTAGCTCATCCTGATGAAATTTTGGATACCAAACTGAAACGTCGATCTTTTTGTATTGAGCAATAAAACTTACGTTTTATTTTATTACTTAAAAGTCCTTGGAGTGCTATCTACACTACATTGAATCTGTGAAGGCTGACAAGCACCGGGCACAAACACCAGTAAGTTGGAGTGCTCGACTATTTTATATATATATTTTATATATATATTTTATATATATATACAAAAGAAAAAAGACCTTGCACTCCTACTCATGAGTGTTTTGTCCTGATGAAAGTTCCTAGTCGGAACTGAAACGTTGATTGTTGACACTTTTCTAGTAAAGAAGTTTTGTGTGAAAGGACCTGGGAGTGCTGATTTTAATATATATATTAAAAGTACTTTTACATACACATACATACATCATTAATAAAAGTGTATTTTAATATTAATATATTATTATTATTATTATTATTATTATTATTATGGTATTATTTATATAGCGCCAACAAATTCCGCAACGCTTTACAGTGGGTGGACGAACAAACATGTAGTTGTAACCAGACAAGTTGGACTAACATGAACAGAGGGGTTGAGGACCCTGCTCAATGAGCTTACATGCTAGAGGGAGTGGGGTAAAGTGACACAAAAGGTAAGGATAGTATTAGACTAATGACAGTTGCAAGAGAGGAATCAGTCAGGAGTTATTAACAGTTTAATTAATACGCTTTTATGAAGAAGTGGGTTTTTAATGATTTTTGAAGGTGTGGAGACTGGGTGAGCATCTAACAGAGAAGGCAAGTGAGTTCCACAGGAACAGTGCAGCCCTCGAGAAGTCTTGAAGACGAGCATCAGAGGTGGGAGTACGGACAGAAGATAGACGTAAGTCTTCAGCAGAGTGTAAGGTCCTAGACGGGACATACTTGTGTATTAGGGAGGAAAGATAGATGGGAGCAGCATTATGTAGAGATTGGAAAGCAAGAACCAGAATTTCAAATTGAGCCCTATATAGGGACTGACAGAAGGGTGAGACTTGTGCATTGCGGGTGGACAGGAAGATGAGCCTCGCCGCCGCATTCATTATGGACTGTAAAATTGCAAGTTGGGAGCACATAAGACCACTGAGGAGCAGATTACAGTAGTTAAGGCGAGAAAGGACAGTGGAATGGACCAGGACCATAGTCACTTCTGGTGTTAAGTAGGGTCGGATGCGCGCAATGTTCTTGAGATGGAATCGGACGGATTTGGCGATAGACTGAACATGAGGGTTGAAGGAGAGGTTGGAGTCAAAGAGAACACCTAGGCAGCGAGCCTGCGTGGTGGAGCTAATGTTAGCACGGTCGACTTGGAGGGTGACAGACACAGGAGTAGCAAAGACCAAAATGTCTGAATTTTATTTTTTGGTCAAGTTGAGTTTAAGGAAGTGGGCAGCCATCCAGTTAGAAATTGCAGAGAGGCAGTCAGAGACACTAGTCAAGAGGGACAAGGAGAGAACAGGAGAGGACAGATAGATTTGTGTGTCATCCACATAGAAATGACATTGGAAGTCAAAGGATCTAATGAGTTTACCAAGGGAGGCAGTATAGATGGAGAACAGTAGGGGACCAAGGAGTGAACCTTGGGGGACACCAACAGAGAGGAGTTGGGGAGAAGAAGCAGAGCCAGAGAAAGAAACACTGAAAGAGCGCTGAGAGATGTAGGGGGAGCACCAGGAGAGAACAATATCTTGTAGACCAATATTGTGGAGGATGAGAAGAAGCTGTTGATGATCAACAGTGTCAAAAGCCGCAAAAGGTCAAAGAGAATTAGGATAGAGTAGTGACCACGAGAATGTGCACCAAGTAGATCATTGGATACTTTGGTCAGTGCCATTTCCACAGAGTGCTTAGTGCAGAAACCAGACTGAAGCGGGTCTAGCAGAGAGTTGGATTTGAGGAAGTCTGTCAATCTTGCATACACAATTCTGTCAAGGGTCTTGGATGCAAAAGGCAGTAGCGAGATAGGACGGTAGTTGGACTGGGAGTTAGGGTCAAGGTTGGGCTTTTTTAGAATTGGGGTTATAGTTGCATGTTTGAAGGGCAATGGAAATATGCCAGAGGAGAGAGTGAGATTGAGAAATTTAGTGATAGGTAGAGAAAGAGAAGAAGGAGGGCGGTAGATTATAGCAATTCTTAAAGGAGTGGGTTTAAATTGGTAGACAGTGTGAACTTCAAAAGAAGAAAAGGATAGGGCAGGGGGAGTTAGGATTGGTTGAAAGGTACATTGAGGGGAGAATAGGATGCCTACACCACCTCCTTTACAGTAGAGTCTGTAGATGATAGCAATTCTTAAAGTAGTGGGTTTAAATTGGCAGACAGTGTGAACTTCAAAAGAAGAAAAGGATAGGGGAGGGGGAGTAATCAGAAGGGGACAGCCAGGTCTCTGTAAGTGCAAGTAGTGTGAGTGAGTTTGAGATGAAAAAGTCGTGTATGGCTGTTGATTTT